ATCACAGAGACCTCAAACGCCTCATCACTGAGACCTTAAACGCCTCATCACTGAGACCTTAAATGCCTCATCACAAACGCCTCATCACAGAGACCTTAAACGCCTCATCATTGAGACCTTAAACGCCTCATCATTGAGACCTTAAACGCCTCATCACAGAGACCTTAAACGCCTCATCAGAGAGACCTTAAACGCCTCATCACAGAGACCTTAAACGCCTCATCACAGAGACCTTAAACGCCTCATCAGAGACCTTAAACGCCTCATCACAGAGACCTTAAACGCCTCATCAGAGAGACCTTAACGCCTCATCACAGAGACCTTAAACGCCTCATCACTGAGACCTTAAACGCCTCATCAGAGAGACCTTAAACGCCTCATCAGAGAGACCTTAAACGCCTCATCAACACAGACCTTAAACGCCTCATCAGAGAGACCTCAAACGCCTCATCACAGAGACCTTAAACGTCTCATCAGAGAGACCTTAAACGCCTCATCACTGAGACCTTATACGCCTCATCACAGAGACCTCAAACGCCTCATCACTGAGACCTTAAACGCCTCATCACAGAGACCTTAAACGCCTCATCACTGAGACCTTAAACGCCTCATCACTGAGACCTTAAACGCCTCATCACAGAGACCTTAAACGCCATATCACTGAGACCTTATACGCCTCATCACAGAGACCTCAAACGCCTCATCACTGAGACCTTAAACGCCTCATCACAGAGACCTTAAACGCCTCATCACTGAGACCTTAAACGCCTCATCACTGAGACCTTAAACGCCTCATCACAGAGACCTTAAATGCCTCATCACAGAGACCTTAAACACCTCATCACAGAGACCTTAAAAACCTCATCATAGAGACCTTAAACGCCTCATCAGAGAGACCTTAAACGCCTCATCACAAACGCCTCATCACAGAGACCTTAAACGCCTCATCACAGGGACCTTAAACGCCTCATTACAGAGACCTTAAACGCCTCATCATTGAGACCTTAAACGCCTCATCACAGAGACCTTAAACGTCTCATCAGAGAGACCTTAAACGCCTCATCAGAGAGACCTTAAACGCCTCATCAGAGAGACCTTAAACGCCTCATCAACACAGACCTTAAACGCCTCATCAGAGAGACCTCAAACGCCTCATCACAGAGACCTTAAACGTCTCATCAGAGAGACCTTAAACGCCTCATCACTGAGAAATTAAACGCCTCATCACAGAGACCTTAAACGCCTCATCACAGAGACCTTAAACGCCTCATCACAGAGACCTTAAACGCCTCATCACTGAGACCTTAAACGCCTCATCAGAGAGACCTTAAACGCCTCATCAACACAGACCTTAAACGCCTCATCAACACAGACCTTAAACACCTCATCAGAGAGACCTCAAACGCCTCATCACAGAGACCTTAAACGCCTCATCAGAGAGACCTTAAACGCCTCATCAACACAGACTTTAAACGCCTCATCAGAGAGACCTCAAACGCCACATCACAGAGACCTTAAACGCCTCATCACAGAGACCTTAAACGCCTCATCACAGAGACGTTAAACGCCTCATCAGAGACCTTAAACGCCTCATCACAGAGACCTTAAACGTCTCATCACAGAGACCTCAAACGCCACATCACAGAGACCTTAAACGCCTCATCACAGAGACCTTAAACGCCTCATCACAGAGACGTTAAACGCCTCATCAGAGACCTTAAACGCCTCATCACAGAGACCTTAAACGCCTCATCACAGAGACCTTAAACGCCTCATCACAGAGACCTTAAACGTCTCATCACAGAGACCTTAAACGCCTCATCAGAGAGACCTCAAACGCCTCATCACAGAGACCTCAAACGCCTCATCACAGAGACCTTAAACGCCTCATCAGAGAGACCTTAAACGCCTCATCACAGAGACCTTAAACGCCTCATCACAGAGACCTTAAACGCCTCATCACAGAGACCTTAAACGCCTCATCAGAGAGACCTTAAACGCCTCATCAGAGAGACCTTAAACGCCTCATCAGAGACCTTAAACGCCTCATCACAAACGCCTCATCACAGAGACCTTAAACGCCTCATCACAGGGACCTTAAACGCCTCATCACAGAGACCTTAAACGCCTCATCATTGAGACCTTAAACGCCTCATCACAGAGACCTTAAACGCCTCATCAGAGAGACCTTAAACGCCTCATCATAGAGACCTTAAACACCTCATCACTGAGACCTTAAACGCCTCATCACAGAGACCTTAAACGCCTCATCACAGAGACCTTAAACCTCTCATCAACACAGACCTTAAACGCCTCATCATACAGACCTTAAACGCCTCATCAACACAGACCTTAAACGCCTCATCACAGAGACCTTAAACGCCTCATCACAGAGACCTCAAACGCCTCATCACAGAGACCTTAAACGCCTCATCACAGAGACCTTAAACGCCTCATCACAGAGACCTTAAACGCCTCATCAGAGAGACCTTAAACGCCTCATCAGAGAGACCTTAAACGCCTCATCACAGAGACATTAAACGCCTCATCACAGAGACCTTAAACGCCTCATCAGAGAGACCTTAAACGCCTCATCAGAGAGACCTTAAATGCCTCATCACAGAGACCTTAAACGCCTCATCACAGAGACCTTAAACGCCTCATCAGAGAGACCTTAAACGCCTCATCACAGAGACCTTAAACGCCTCATCACAGAGACCTTAAACGCCTCATCACAGAGACCTTAAACGCCTCATCACAGAGACCTTAAACGCCTCATCACAGAGACCTTAAACGCCTCATCACAGAGACCTTAAACGCCTCATCACAGAGACCTTAAACGCCTCATCACAGAGACCTTAAACGCCTCATCACAGAGACCTTAAACGCCTCATCACAGAGACCTTAAACGCCTCATCACAGAGACCTTAAACGCCTCATCAGAGAGACCTTAAACGCCTCATCACAGAGACCTTAAACGCTTCATCAGAGACCTTAAATGCCTCATCACAAACGCCTCATCACAGAGACCTTAAACGCCTCATCACAGAGACATTACATTACATTACATTACATTGCATTTAGCTGACGCTTTTGTCCAAAGCGACTTACAATAAGTACATTCGACCAGGAAGACACAACCTTGAAGAAAACAGAATCATATAAGTATATCAGGTTTCATAGAGCCAAACATTTCAAGTGCTACTCAACTGGCTTTAGGTAATCCAGTCCTTTATTGGTATAAAAGTGCTTCGTTAATCGTTCTAACGCTCGAAGTGGAGTCGAAAGAGATGAGTTTTCAGTTTAACGCGTTTAACGAGTTTTCAGACCTTAAACGCCTCATCATTGAGACCTTAAACGCCTCATCACAGAGACCTTAAACGCCTCATCAGAGAGACCTTAAACGCCTCATCATAGAGACCTTAAACACCTCATCACTGAGACCTTAAACGCCTCATCACTGAGACCTTAAACGCCTCATCACAGAGACCTTAAACGCCTCATCAACACAGACCTTAAACGCCTCATCATAGAGACCTTAAACGCCTCATCACAGAGACCTTAAACGCCTCATCACAGAGACCTTAAACGCCTCATCAACACAGACCTTAAACGCCTCATCATAGAGACCTTAAACGCCTCATCAACACAGACCTTAAACGCCTCATCACAGAGACCTTAAACGCCTCATCACAGAGACCTTAAACGCCTCATCAGAGAGACCTTAAACGCCTCATCAACACAGACCTTAAACGCCTCATCACAGAGACCTTAAACGCCTCATCACAGAGACCTTAAATGCCTCATCACAGAGACCTTAAACGCCTCATCAACACAGACCTTAAACGCCTCATCATAGAGACCTTAAACGCCTCATCACAGAGACCTTAAACGCCTCATCATTGTCTGACTGTCATTCATTCATCAATCAATCAATGTTTATTTATATAGCCCAATATCACAAATGTTACATTTGTCTCAGTGGACTTTACAGTTTGTACAAAATATCAGTATGACAATACGACACCCTCTGTCCTTAGACCCTCTGTCCTTAGACCCTCTGTCCTTAGACCCTCACATCGTACAAGGAAAAACTTCCGAAGAAAACCCACAGTTTAAAGGGGAAAATGGGAGAAACCTCGGGGAGAGCAACAGAGGAGGGATCCCTCTCCCAGGACGGACAGACGTGCAATAGATGCCATGTGTAAATTGAAAAGATAATACATTTGCAACATAGGTAGTCCAAATGTTTCGAAATGCATGTGTGTATAATAGGAAGATGAATCCACGAGGATATCCATCCAGGACCTATGATCCAGGACCACCATTCATTCATTCATGTTTTGATTTGTGCGCTCCCTCTCTCACCGGTTCCCCTGTTCACCGGTTCCCCTGTTCACATGTACACCTGTTCACCTGTACACCTGTTCACCTGTTCACCTGTACACCTGTTCACCTGTTCACCTGCTCCCCCCATCACCTGTTCCCTTGTTCCTGCAGGTGATCTCTGACTTCTGATCATGACTCATCATTTCTCTGAGGATCCTGCTGCCATCAGTCATTCTGCAGTGAGTTTCTGATGAACGCATGAATCTGAAGACTCAAACACACCACGACGTTCAGGGACTGACATTGCTGGGTTCAGGGACTGGCACGTGGTGGTGCGTTCAGGGACTGGCACGTGGTGGTGCGTTCAGTGACTGACATAGTGGTAGTACGTTCAGGGACTGACATGGTGCATTCAGGGACTGACATGGTGAATTCGACGACTGACATGGTGCATTCGACGACTGACATGGTGCATTCGACGACTGACATGGTGCATTCGGGGACTGACATGGTGCATTCGGGGACTGACATGGTGCATTCGGGGACTGACATGGTGTATTCGGGGACTGACATGGTGCGTTTGGGGACTGACATGGTGCATTCGGGGACTGACATGGTGTATTCGGGGACTGACATGGTGCGTTCGGGGACTGACATGGTGCGTTCGGGGACTGACATGGTGCATTCGGGGACTGACATGGTGCACTCGGCGACTGACATGGTGCACTCTGCGACTCACATGGTGCATTCAGGGACTGACATGGTGCGTTCGGGGACTGACATGGTGCGTTCGGGGACTGACATGGTGCGTTCGTCGACTGACATGGTGCATTCAGGGACTGACATGGTGCACTCGGCGACTGACAGGGTGCACTCGGGGACTGACATGGTGCACTCGGCGACTGACATGGTGCATTCAGGGACTGACATGGTGCGTTCGGGGACTGACATGGTGCATTCAGGGACTGACATGGTGCATTCACGGACTGACATGATGCGTTCGGCGACTGACATGGTGTGTTCGGGGACTGACATGGTGCGTTCGGGGACTGACATGGTGCGTTCGTCGACTGACATGGTGCATTCGGGGACTGACATGGTGCATTCGGGGACTGACATGATGCGTTCGGCGACTGACATGGTGCGTTCGGGGACTGACATGGTGCATTCGGGGACTGACATGGTGCGTTCGGGGACTGACATGGTGCGTTCGGGGACTGACATGGTGCGTTCGGGGACTGACATGGTGCGTTCGGGGACTGACATGGTGCGTTCGTCGACTGACATGGTGCATTCAGGGACTGACATGGTGCACTCGGCGACTGACAGGGTGCACTCGGGGACTGACATGGTGCACTCGGCGACTGACATGGTGCATTCAGGGACTGACATGGTGCGTTCGGGGACTGACATGGTGCATTCAGGGACTGACATGGTGCATTCACGGACTGACATGATGCGTTCGGCGACTGACATGGTGTGTTCGGGGACTGACATGGTGCGTTCGGGGACTGACATGGTGCGTTCGTCGACTGACATGGTGCATTCGGGGACTGACATGGTGCACTCGGCGACTGACATGGTGCGTTCGGGGACTGACATGGTGCGTTCGTCGACTGACATGGTGCATTCGGGGACTGACATGGTGCATTCAGGGACTGACATGATGCGTTCGGCGACTGACATGGTGCGTTCGGGGACTGACATGGTGCATTCGGGGACTGACATGGTGCGTCCGGGGACTGACATGGTGCATTCAGGGACTGACATGGTGCGCTCAGCGACTGACATGGTGCGTTCAGGGACTGACATGGTGCATTCAGGGACTGACATGGTGTGTTCAGGGACTGACATGGTACACTCAGGGACTGACATGGTGCGTTCAGGGACTGACATGGTGCATTCAGGGACTGACATGGTGTGTTCAGGGACATGGTGCGTTCAGGGACTGACATGGTACACTCAGGGACTGACATGGTGGTGGTGTGTTCAGGGACTGACATGGTGGTGGTGTGTTTTGTGACTGACATGGTGCGTTCAGGGACATGTTGATGGTACGTTCAGGCTCTCTCCTCTCTCCAGGCTCCTCGGCGCCTCAGTGAGGATGAAGAGGAGGATGAAGACCTGAACAGGGTGTTGGGAGTTCGTGTTTTCCAGCAGATCCTGAACCCAGCAGCGCTCAGAGCTCCAGAGAAACACCGAGTGATCGACGAGCAGGAAGTGGAGGGTGAGACACCAACGTTTATTCATATTATTATTACCATCTCAAGTAACTTAAGTTCAGTTTAGAGGTACTTGTACTTTACTTGAGTATTTCAATGTTCTGCTACCTTGTACTTCTACTCCACTACAGTTCAGAGGTACATGTTGTACTTTTCCTCCTCTACATGTATTTAATCCCTTTAGTTACTTCTCAGATGTGGATGAATGATGTGAAATCTAACCAAGTGTTGAATCAGACTTTAGTTCCACCTGGAGTAAATTCACCAGCTACCCTGCAGTATACAAAGTACTTCAAACTAGCTGCACCTTCACCAGCTTTGAGAACACTTTCATGATCAATCATTATAAAACATATCATATATATTATTCTGAAATGGACCAATCTGCACAACGACTACTTTTACTGTCACTACTTTCACTATATTTAGATGATAATACTTTTCTACTTTCACTTGAGGAACATTTTGAATGCAGGACTTTTACTGAAACAGAGTATTCCTACACTCTGGTACTTCTACTTTTACTCAAGTACAAGATCTGAGTACTTCTACTTTTACTCTAGTACAAGATCTGAGTACTTCTACTTTTACTCAGGTACAAGATCTGAGTACTTCTACTTTTACTACAAGATCTGAGTACTTCTACTTTTACTCAGGTAAAACAAAGTGATGTTGTTGATCTCCTGTGATGGTGTGGATCTCTTCCTGCAGATCATCGTCTCTTCTCTCCTCACGTCCTCCAGCCGTTGGCCAGGAGGAGGACCAATGAGGGCCGGCGAGGCTCCGTCCCCACAGCAACCATCGAAGAGGACGGGGAGGAAGAGGAGGGTGAGGAAGATGGAGAGGAGCCCTGCAGGTCAGGAGGTTTAAATATAATCAGGTCAATATTGTCTGAGACCCCCCCCACCACCTGACCTGTAGCTCCTCCCCCTCACAGTGACCTACCCACCGGCTCATCCAATCACAACGGCCGCATAATGGCGAGCGCTGACGACGAAGAGGAGGCTGAGACGCTAATGTCGGTCGACCTGGACGACATGAAGAGTAAGTAAACTGTGTTTATTACACACACAAATAATATCTATAAATCCAGACCATAATGCTGACTCAGGTCAGGGTTCAGGACTCATAATGCTGACTCAGGTCAGGACTCATAATGCTGACTCAGGTCAGGGTTCAGGACTCATAATGCTGACTCAGGTCAGGGTTCAGGACTCATAATGCTGACTCAGGTCAGGGTTCAGGACTCATAATGCTGACTCAGGGTTCAGGACTCATAATGCTGACTCAGGGTTCAGGTCTCATAATGCTGACTCAGGTCAGGACTCATAATGCTGACTCAGGTCAGGGTTCAGGACTCATAATGCTGACTCAGGTCAGGGTTCAGGACTCATCATGCTGACTCAGGTCAGGGTTCAGGACTTATAATGCTGACTCATGTCAGGGTTCAGGACTCATAATGCTGACTCAGGTCAGGACTCATAATGCTGACTCAGGTCAGGGTTCAGGACTCATAATGCTGACTCATGTCAGGACTCATAATGCTG